TCCCACTGACACCAACGATTAGTCACTATTCTTCCCACTGACACCAATGATGGAGCACTATTCCTTGCCCTGACATCAGCAATCGGCAGTATTCCTCCCACTAATACCACTGTCGAGTCATTGTTTCCTAGACCAATGACACCATGGCATTTTCTACTCACACTGGCCACAGTCCAGCCCTCTTAAAGTCTGAAGGGCAGTAAACTAGCCCTTCATTTAGAAAGTTTGGAGACCCCTGCTTTAGAGCATCACCTACTGAGTATAGCGCCACCTACAGAAGGTGAAGATCTAAAGCAGAAGCTATGTCTTCCAATAAACAAAAGAGAAAATAGGATTCTTTGTACTCACTGTAGAATCGATTTATCTGTGTTCTTTGGGGGGACACAGCTTCTGCTTTAGGTCATCACCTACTATGCCCTGAAATGAACAAAAGAGCAAAATCCTGTTTTCTCTTTCACTCATTAGAGGAGACAGCTTCTGCTTTTGATCTTCACCTCTTGCATGTGGAAGTATACCTAGTAGGTGATGATCTAAAGCAGAAACTGTGGCCTCCTATAAGCACTGCCTTGATAGCAGCCTCCTGCCCCCCCCCCCCCATTCCATACAGCAGAGCTCAGACTGTGTGAAGGAGAGTAGATTTAAGAGCCAATCAGGCTCTGCTGCCACATACATGTGCTAACAGAAGCGGAGAGCAGATGTGATGACTTTTCACGCGTGCTGCTGCTTCTGCATTAGGCGAAGAGGTGACACCACTTTATTCTTAACAAATAAGTTTGTATCAGTCTTTATGGAGTAGTAGAAAAAATAACATGTGTGTGTGTTGCGCAGTTGGCAGAAAATGAGTGAGTGTGGAAATTGGCAGAAGTGCAAGTGAAACTTTAGCTCTGTTGCAACAGGCTTATGATGGACGTTCCATGAAGAAATCAAGTGTTAATGAATGGCATAGGTGGTTTAAGGTGGGGCAAGATGTCGTCCACAATGGTGCAAGAAATGGGCAGTCAAAACCACAAAGGACGAATGCAAATGTGGATAGAGTGTGAACCCTCATATGCTCTGATTGAAGACTGAGTGTGCAAATGATGGCAGAAGAATTGAACATGAACAGGGAAACAGTGCAGCAGATTCTAGCAGAGGATTTGGGAATGAGAAAGATTTCCGCAAAGATGCCTCGACTCTTGATTGAAGATCAGAAAGAACATTGTGTTCAAATTTCATCTGATCTTCTGAAGAATGCCAAGGTGTTTGTTTAATTACTGGAATGGGTTAAAAAAAATGATCAGTCACACCTCACATAAATATTAGTTCTGTCTTTCCGGATCTGGTTGATTGTTCATGGTCAGGGTCGTAGCCTCCCTGGCGGTATTCCCGAGTGTAGCACGGGGTAAAGTTTCAGTACCAAAAGCGGTAACCCCGAGCTACACTCTAACTTATCATGCGGCTCCGGGATCTGTTCTTCTCTTACCTTGTCCTGCGCTCCCGCAATGTCCCCCCTGCAGTGTCCCCGGCAATGTACTCTGGCCGATGCCGACATCTGTCACCTGGGTTCCGTCCTCTGCGAGTGTCAGGATGTACGGGGGACAGAATGGCGGGAAATTTGAAAATGACAAAAAGTGACATTCACTAAATACACTAAAATCACATAGTAAAACATTTCTGTATCAAAGCATCTCACATAAATTTTGTCCCTGGTGCTTTGTCCTGTGCCCTGCCTACATTTTTACTGTTCTTTCTACCTGGAAACTGAGAAACGTCCATGGCGTCCAAAAAGCATCCCTTTTAGGTCAAAACCCTTTAGACCAGCTAGAGAGCAGCGATAGTAAATCAGAACTACTTGCAGAATTGAGTGATAATGATTCGTGGGAAAATTCATCATCAGACACTGAAAACGATTTTGCGACTTTGCTCAGTGATGTGCGAACTTGGCGCTATATTTCAAATTTCAGTGTTTTGGTTTGATTATATTATTGAATTAAATTTATTATTATGGTATCATTATTTTTTATGATTATTTATTACATTATAATTTATGATTTCGTGTTTCAAGTTTTATCATACCCGGGATGTTTACTAGACTCTTGTTCGGACAGATTTCATTGAGTTATTCCTAAAAATTACAGGCCTACAATAAAAAAAATACATATTTCCATGCAAAAAAATGTACCGCTTTGAGCACAGCAATATGGACATAATCAAACCGCTAGGGAGGTTAAAGAAGCTTTGTCAGGTAACCAAAAGACATATAGTCATTGCCAAAAATGGCACCCCTGCATTTCTGTGGGATAATGCACCACTCACCCAGAAAATTGTTGCAATTACAAATGTTTAGGCATTCTCATGTTTATTCCTTTTGCTTGTATTAGTATGACACAAAAAAGTGGAGAAACAAAAAACCAACCCAGGATCCAGTCCACCCCTCCTCAAAGGCACAGGGGTTCACTGGACACCCAGCACATAGCACAATGGTAGCAAAGGTATCTAGTGTGCCCCCTCACCAAATTATCAGTGGTGCAAACAAACGGCAACTGCCCCAACCTATAAATGGCCTTCGCAGCAAGGAGCGAATGGAAGGGCGACGCATGTCAAACAACAATAAAGAGAAATTCCCAGCTCACGTTAAAAACTAGGGTTTAGTCTGCATACATTTGCAAATCCATGCATAAGCTGCAGAGCCACTTCACGGCACCCCAGTATTTTCTGCAGTGCTAACTCGACAGTAGAAGCGCATGTATAATAATGGATAGATTGAGGACAGGCAAGCCTGGAGGGAGCCCACCCCTCCTTAAAAGGCACAGGGGTTCACTGGACACCCAGCACATAGCACAATGGCAGCAAAGGTGTCCAGTGCACCTCTCATCAAATTACCAATTGTACAAACAAATGGCAACTGTGCCAACCTATAACTGGCCTTCAACAAATATACTCACACATCCAATGAATCCAGCAGGTAGTGATATGCTGATCCGCTGCTCTTGCCCTGGTCCACTCCGCCATCTTGCTCACCGATTTCATCAGGGGGCTGGCTGCAAGTAACATGAAGAGACTGCCCCTGTGCAGTGACATGTGCATATGTTTGAGGTTAGGTTCACATATGCGTGGGTTGGAAATGCGTGCATAATCGCGTGCATTCCCAACGCTGCTCTTTAGCAGGCATGCAAAGGTTCCATTACTTCTTGAATAATTCTTAACTGTTTCCCGACCACCCTATAGCAGAAATACTGCTACAGGGCGACACGGGTGCGCAAAATCACATATATATACTGTACGTAATTTTTGCATCTCGGGGTAGGGGGCGCGCACGAGCTGCGCACTCCGCCATTTATGTCTGTCAATCACCGGGTAATTACCCGCCGGTGCCTGGTGATTATCGACGATCACCAATGGGGTGGAAGACTGTTTGTAAACAAAACAGTCTGCCACCCCATTGGTGATCGTTGTTTACAAACAGTCTTCCTCCCTGTCAGCTCGGGCACACTGCTCAGGATGGCTGTGCATATATTAAAATAAAAATATATTCTTCACATTTTGTTTAACATATAAAAAAGTCATTTTAACATATTTTTACATATATTTCTAAATGCATTCCAAAAATGAAGATTTGTATTTTTAAAGACATACAGTATATTTGAAATTTATTTTTTTAAATATTTATCATATATTTTGTAAAAAAAAACGCATTTCAACATGCAGTATATATTTATTGAAATATATTTTGAAATATATTGAATATGGCTAAAATTGCAGCATTTCAAGTATATGGCAATATTTGGGAAGAATATTTTTAAAATATATTTCAAATATACATTTCTTCCATGTGGGTAGCCTAAGGCCCCTTGCACAGGGGGGCATCTATCTGCTGTGTGTGCCTTCCCGGCATTTTAGTGCATAGACTATAACAGGCTGGGACTGTACCAAGCAGTACGTGTGTTTGGGGTCCTATACATTGAGGGATGAATGGCTGGAGCACAGGTCTTCTGCCATCCATATACTTTAACAAACTGCAGGCAATGGGGTTGGACACTACACCTGTACCTCTTGGGCACACTAAAATGCTTGGGAGGTGCACACAGCAGCTAGATGCCTAAATGTTCTGAAGACCTAAGGCTTCCATCTTCCTATGCAATAACAGACTGCATGCTAGGTAAAAATTATCACTTACATTGTGTAGGTGTTCTAGGGCCACCTGCTGTTCATTCTGAGAAGTGCAAAAACAATGTTCAGGGGTTGTTTGCTTATATATTTATATTGAAGGATTTTATTGCATTACATTTAATTACAATACATCGTTTTAGTTAACTGATCTATGGATTTTTTGAGAGAAAAAACATCCATGGATAAAATGTTCTGGGAGTTCTTTAAGACTGTCTGCATTCATCTTTTGGTACTTGTCTGTTAATTCACCGGATTTATTTATATATATATACCGTATTTTCCGACGACTGGGCGTATAAGACGACCCCCTACTTTTCCTGCTAAAATGTAGTGTTTGGGCTATACTCGCCGTATAAGACTACCCCTCTATCAGTGCACACTAGTGGGAGGAATAGTGCCCCATCATTGGTGTCAGTGGGAGGAATAGTGTCCCATCATTGGTGTCAGTAGGAGGAATAGTGCCCCATCATTGGTATTAGTGGGAGGAATAGTGCCCCATCATTGGTATTAGTGGGAGGAATAGTGTCCCATCATTGGTATTAGTGGGAGGAATAGTGCCCCATCATTGGTGTCAGTGGAAGGAACAGTGCCCCATCATTGGTATTAGTGGGAGGAATAGTGCCCCATCATTGGTGTCAGTGGGAGGAATAGTGTCCCATCATTGGTATTAGTGGGAGGAATAGTGCTTCATCATTGGTATTAGTGGAAGGAATAGTGCCCCATCATTGGTATTAGTGGGAGGAATAGTGCCCCATCATTGGTATTAGTGGGAGGAATAGTGCCCCATCATTGGTATCAGAGCGACGAATCGTGCCCCATCATTGGTGTCAGTGGGAGGAATAGCACCCCATCATTGGTGTCATTGTGCCCCATCAGTGTGGCAGAGGAATCAGTGCCCCATCATTGGTGTCAGTAGGAATAGTGTCAGGTATTAGTGGGAGGAATAGTGCCTCATCATTGGTATTAGTGGAAGGAATAGTGCCCCATCATTGGTATTAGTGGGAGGAATAGTGCCCCATCATTGGTGTCAGAGAGACGGATTGTGCCCCATCATTGGTGTCAGTGGGAGGAATAGCACCCCATCATTGGTGTCAGTGAGAGGAATCGTGCCCCATCATTGGTATCAGTGGAGGAACAGTGCCCCATCATTGGTATCAGTGGGGGGAATAGTGCCTCATCATTGGTATCAGTGGCAGGAATAGTGCCCCATCATTAGTATCAGTGGGGGGAATAGTGCCCCATCATTGGTGTCAGTGGGAGGAATAGTGCCCCATCATTAGTATCAGTGGGAGGAATAGTGTCCCATCATTGGTGTCAGTGGGGGGTGGAATAGTGCCCCATCATTGGTGTCAGTGGGGGGGGGAGGAGGATAGTGCCCCATCATTGGTGTCAGTGGGGGGGAGGAATAGTGCCCCATCGTTGGTGTCAGTGGGAGGAATAGTGCTCCATTATTGGTATCAGTGACACCAATGATGGGGCACTATTCCTCCCACTGACACCAATTACACTTGCTGACCTCTGTTCTAGTATGGTGCTGCTGCAGCCAGAATATGTGGTTGCAGTAGCACCTCTACACGGCACACTTACCGGCCGCTCCTTCACTCGATTTTCGCGGGGCCGCTCGACTCCGCCCCCTCGTCGGTGATTGGCCGCCTGTGTGCCTTTCTTGAGCTACAGTTCTGGCAGCCAATCACCGGTGAGGAGGCAGAGCCGAGCAGCCGCGCGAACATCCAGTGGACGAACTGAAGGAGCAGCCGTGCTTCCTGGACCGGATCGTCGTGGGAGCGGAGCCAGGTAAGAAACAGCAGCCCCTGCCCACCCCTGTACTTAGTGTCCCTTCCATTGGAAGGGGGGGGGGGGGGGTTCGGCAGCGGCACCGCACAGCCCCCCTAAAAAGTGTCAGTATGCCATATACCGGCGTATAAGATGACCCCCGACTTTTGAGAAGATTTTCAAGGGGTAAAAAGTCGTCTTATACGCCGGAAAATACGGTATGTATATATATATATATATATATATATATATATAAATATATATATTTGTTATATATTTAAATAAAACATAATACAAACAAAAAACATAAAACAAAAATAAATAAATATATATATATATATATATAACTAAATCCGGTGAATTAACAGACAAATACCCATCTTTTTTTTATTACAGGTATTTATATAGCGCAAACAATTTACGCACTGCTTTACATATTGTACATTCAGACTCTGTCCTCAAGATGCTTACAATGTCTGGTCCCTACCTTACATGCATACATAAATATACTAGGGCTGATTTGAGGCATGATCCAATTAACCACAGTGGCTAAATGGTTAGCACTTCTACCTGGCAGTACTCGGGTCGTTGGTTTGAGTCCCAACCACAGCATCACCTGCCTGGAGTTTGCATGTTCTCCCTGTGTCTGTGTGGTTTACCTCTGGGTACTCCAGTTTCCTCCCACAACAAAAGACATGCTGATAGGTTAATTGGCTCCTGTCTAAATTGTCCCTAGTATGTGTATGTATGAATGTAAGTTAGGGACCTTAGATTGTACGCCCCTCAAGGGTCAGGGACTGATGTGAATGTACAATATATATGTAAAGCACTGCGTAAATTGACGGCACTACATAAGTACCTGTAATAAATAAAATAAACCCAGTAAATGCAAACTCCATGCAGATAGTGTCCTGAGTGGGGACCCTAGGGCTACAAGGGACAAGTGTTAACTACCTTTAAAGCTTGACCGTTTTATGATGGCCCGGAGACTGAGATGTGTATTGGGTTAGATTCTGCTAATAAGTACTATTAAGGATGTTTGGAATGCAGCTAAAAGATTGTTGATGGTATAAGACGCCTTCCTGGGTTGATGTAAAGGGGATCGCTGCTGTTATGTGTCACCTATTGTTCAAAAACCATCATGGCTGACTTAGGAATTCTGAACAACATGGCGGCTTTGCCTTTCCACACAATCATTTGAGGTGCCCAGTCTGCATTACCATTACAACTCCCAATGCTAGATTGTGAGGATCCCTTAGGTGGCGGTTTATCTTCACTGCAATGGCGATCAATAGGGCAGGCAGTGAAAGAGGTGAGTATTAACCACTTATTGACTGTGGTATAGCCAAGTGACAGCTACAGCGCAGTCATCCAGTTCTGGAAGGGTGTCTATTGACATCCTCCTAGAACCACGCACCATAGCGCTACATTTATATCAGACAGCTTTGGAACAGGAAGAAGGGTCAGCCGCACACCGGAGGATAGATGAATATAGTGTATATTTATTGATCCATAGGACACACAAAACACCAGGACATGAATCATAAATACAGGACCTGTTAACGCGTTTCACACGATCACGCGCTTAATCATAAAGAAAACAACAAAAGTGCTGTCTTATATAGGAGTTAGTTAATAAAGAACACCTGTCCTAATGAGCACTCCTGAATCCTGAGGATACCCCTATGAGTACATTGTAACAAAACATATAAAATCATTTTATCAAAAACAGTGATAGCAGAAAACAGCAATGAAGGAAGAAAGGAAAAAAAGGAAAACGAAATGTACTTTATCCCAAGTAGACATGAGTTTTTTTGTATATATTATTATTTAAATTTTGATCATTTACAAATGTGGCTTTTCAGCCCATATCATCTTGGGATGTTTACTTGCTTTTACAGTGGGGCAAAAAAGTATTTAGTCAGCCACCAATTGCGCAAGTTCTCCCACTTAAAAAGATGATAGAGGCCTGTAATTGGCATCATAGGTAGACCTCAACTATGAGAGACAAAATGAGAAAACAAATCCAGACAATCACATTGGCTGATTTGGAAAGAATTTTATTTTCAAATTATGGTGGAAAATAAGTATTTGGTCACCTACAAACAAGCAAGATTTCTGGCTCTCACAGACCTGTACCTTCTTCTTTAAGAGGCTCCTCTGTCCTGCACTCATTACCTGTATCAATGGCACCTGTTTGAAACTTGTTATCAGCATAAAAGACACCTGTCTACAACCTCAAACAGTCTCACTCCAAACTCCACTATGGTGAAGACCAAAGAGCTGTCGAAGGACACCAGAAACAAAATTGTAGACCTGCACCAGGCTGGGAAGACTGAATCTGCAATAGGCAAGCAGCTTGGTGTGAACAAATCAACTGTGGGAGCAATAACTAGAAAATGGAAGACATACAAGACCACTGATAATCTCCCTCGATCTGGGGCTCCACGCAAGATCTCACCCAGTGAGGTCAAAATGATCACAAGAACGGTGAGCAAAAATCCCAGGACCACACACCGGGACCTAGAGAATGACCTGCGAGAGCTGGGACCAACATAACAAAGGCTACCATCAGTAACACACTACGCCGCCAGGGACTCAGATCCTGCAGTGCCAGACGTGTCCCCCTGCTTAAGCCAGTACATGTCCGGGCCCATCTGAAGTTTGCTAGAGAGCATTTGGATAATCCAGAAGATGATTGGAGAATGTCATATGGTCAGATGAAACCAAAATAGAACTGTTTGGTAGAAACACAACTCGTCGTGTTTGGAGGAGAGAGAATGCTGAGTTGCATCCAAAGAACACCATACCTACTGTGAAGCATGGGGGGTGGAAACATCATGCTTTGGGGCTGTTTCTCCGCAAAGGGATCAGGACGACTGATCCATGTACAGGACAGAATGAATGGGGCCATGTATAGTGAGATTTTGAGCGCAAACCTCCTTCCATGAGCAAGAGCATTGAAGATGAAACGTGGCTGGGTCTTCCAACATGACAATGATCCCAAACATACCGCCCGGGCAATGGAGTGGCTTCGTTTGAAGCATTTCAAGGTCCTGGAGTGGCCTAGCCAGTCTCCAGATCTCAACTCCATAGAAAACCTTTGGAGGGAGTCGAACGTCCATGTTGCCCAGCTGCAGCCCCAAAACATCACTGCTCTAGAGGAGATCTGCATGGAGGAATGGGACAACATACCAGCAACAGTGTGTGCCAACCTTGTGAAGACTTACAGGAAACGTTTGACCTCTGTCATTGCCAACAAAGGATATATAACAAAGTATTGAGATGAACTTTTCATATTGACCAAATACTTATTTTCCACCATAATTTGCAAATAAATTCTTTCCAAATCAGCCAATGTGATTGTCTGGATTTTTTTTCTCATTTTGTCTCTCATAGTTGAGGTCTACCTATGATGCCAATTACACAGCGCCTTTGCAGAGAAACAGCCCCAAAGCATGATGTTGCCACCCCCCATGCTTCACAGTAGGTATGGTGTTCTTTGGATGCAACTCAGCATTCTCTCTCCTCCAAACACGACGAGTTGTGTTTCTACCAAACAGTTCTATTTTGGTTTCATCTGACCATATGACATTCCCAATCCTCTTCTGGATCATCCAAATGCTCTCTAGCAAACTTCAGGTGGGCCCGGACATGTACTGGCTTAAGCAGGGGGACACGTCTGTCACTGCAGGATCTGAGTCCCTGGCGGCGTAGTGTGTTACTGATGGTAGCCTTTGTTACATTGGTCCCAGCTCTCTGCAAGTCATTCAGTAGGTCCCCCGTGTGGTCCTGGGATTTTTGCTCACCGTTTTTTGTGATCATTTTGACCCCACGGGGTGAGATCTTGCGTGGAGCCCCAGATCGAGGAAGATTATCAGTGGTCTTGTATGTCTTCCATTTTCTAATTATTGCTCCCACAGTTGATTTGTTCACACCAAGCTGCTTGCCTATTGCAGATTCAGTCTTCCCAGCCTCGTGCAGGTCTACAATTTTGTTTCTGGTGTCCTTCGACAGCTCTTTGGTCTTCACCATAGTGGAGTTTGGAGTGAGACTGTTTGTGGTTGTGGACAGGTGTCTTTTATACTGATAACAAGTTCAAACAGGTGCCATTGATACAGGTAATGAGTGCAGGACAGAGGAGCCTCCTAAAGAAGAAGGTACAGGTCTGTGAGAGCCAGAAATCTTGCTTGTTTGTAGGTGACCAAATACTTATTTTCCACCATAATTTGCAAATAAATTCTTTCCAAATCAGCCAATGTGATTGTCTGCAATTTTTCTCATTTTGTCTCTCCTAGTTGAGGTCTACCTATGATGGCAATTACAGGCCTCTCTCATCTTTTTAAGTGGGAGAACTTGCACAATTGGTGGCTGACTAAATACTTTTTTGTCCCACTGTATCTGTGTTTGCGTATGTTATTTAATTTTTTATTTTACTTTTCATTTTAACCACTTGCCCTCCTGAGGATTTACCCCCCCCCCCCCCCTTCCTG